TTCATATAAAACAGACGATTCTGACCAAAACCGGTCCTACACAAATGTGCCTATACCGGTCGGACAATAGAAACAAGACCACTCGCTCGTATAATACACGTATATTGTGAAGCACACAAACATCCGCCGCATATAGCTATCTGCTTGTGCTGGCTATTGTCTTAAGTTTCTTGTTTTTATAGCGACTCTGCCTTTCCGCGCTTCTCGTCTCGTCCTGCTCGCCTTCTCTCGTTTCTGTAGTATTGGACTTGACTACATGTTGATGCCTATTAACCCCACCACAAGCGCGTGCCGTATTGTTGCGCTAGTGCTGGTAGATACCATGAGAATTATACTGATTTCGATATCAATTAAGCAATTGATAGAGGAAGTATATAACAAATAACGAATTTAATTATATGAGTAATATTAAAATATTATTTTTTCTACGAGAAAAAATAATAGTTATCTATATTAAAATATTTTAAATTTTTATATCATCTTCTATATATATAAATAAGTCGGGTTTTCCTTCCTGACGAAATAACTCCAGAGCGCATGAGCCAATTTCGACAATTTTGCATTCGTTGGAAAGGTCTCGGGCTCCGCAAGGTTTATAGCTAAGAAAATTAGTGGTGCATGGCATCGTGCCCTAATGCAAATTGCTGGAACTTTACGCATAGTAATTAAAAATTCGAGTAATAAAAATAATCAATAATTGTTTTAAATAATTGCAAATAGATTATCTTCTATTTATATAAAAATAAGTCGGGTTTTCCTTCCTGATCAATTTTTTTCTTTTCAAATATAAAACAAACAAAAAATTTCTTCATCTTTCTCACGAAACCATCTGGTGGCGAAACGGAGTTCGTCGGGTTTGCTAGTTCTAAATAAAATGCAGTCAAAAGTTCGATACATAAGCTGATTCCATGATGTTTCTGCTACGAGATCATTCCTTAATGATTTTTATATTTCTTAAGAGTAGCATAAAATATTCTGAAACATTTCGTAGATGAAATGCTTATGCGATATTTCAACTGTAAATATAAGGATTAGTGCGATAAGTTTCTTTTGTTAAATTATCATTTCTTTTCTTGTTGGAGCAGCGATCAGAACTTAAGTGTCCTAGAAGCCGTTATAATTAATTTCTTACAAACTATGTTTGTTTTTTATAGATTGCAATTGTTCTTGCAACCCATCTTTATGTGAAGATTTTTATTATTACAATTATTGTAATAGTACTGACTTTTTATATGTGCAATTTTACATGGAAACATATTGCTTGACAATAGGCTGCTCGAAGCGGGATCGGGTTCCGTCGTCCTAGCGGACCCTACCTAAGTGGGACCCGAAATTAAAGTAAAAGTCGACTAGAAAAACTCGTTAATAGATTATGAAATCAAAGCAAATAATTTTACCCAAAAAATCTTATTCTAAAATACTTTCAACTTTCTAAATGTTAGCGAACACATGTAAAAATGCTTTTGAGTTGGTTCTTCAAATTACTAATAATGAGTGTAAGCTAGTATTTCTAGGCACATTGTATCAAATTATTGTAGATGAGTAATCGACCTTATACTCTATTACAGCACTAGTAATGACAACAAAAATCAACTGCTCTCTTCTACCGCATTCGTACAAATGTGTGGCACTAGTGCCGTTCTCATCATACACGTGTATTAAAATCTCCGTCTCGTTCGTGCTCGCACGTGCTTTCAGCTGACATTGTATCGCGTCTCTCTCGGACACGTGTCTTACAATGTAACTGAACGGACGCAACCTTTTCTGTCGCTAAACTTTTACTTTGTCGTAAGTTTGCATTATGATTTGGTTTAGATGAGAGATTAAGAGTTAAGATTAAGATGGTTTGCATTTAGTATGCAAGGCATTGCATAACCTTTATGATTGGTGTGGGCTTTTAGTGTACATATGAACAAAACCATATGTTTCTCTGCTTGTTTTGTCGCAAAGGAATGCTGTTGTATAGTTGTATAGCATAATTTAGTAATTTGAAGTAAGATAAAGATTTTGTTTTTATTCAGATTTTGTTTAAGTTAGAACTTAAATGATTATTATCTAGATTTCTATATGAAACTAGCAAACCCGACGAACTCCGTTTCGCCACCTGATGGTTTCGTGAGAAAGATGAAGAAATTTTTTGTTTGTTTTATATTTGTTTTATATTTTGTTTATTTTATATTTCGATTACAAAAATGAAGTGTTTTTTAGTTGAACTTTTCTAAGTAAATGAAAGTGAATCCGCAAATTATCCGTTTCATTGAAGTGCTCTTTGGTAAACCACAATTTTTGTTTTTTGGTCTGACGTTAACACAAACAAAGCAGATGGTTTTCCAACTCGTGAACAGGCAACGTATAACTGCTCTTATGAAAAACAATGATTTTCTAAATAATCTATTTGAAATTTATCCCGCAAACACTAAGCGATTGGCCTTGAGACTTGTTATTGCGAACGCAAGGCAAACTTGAAATTGCAGTCGTTTGAAGTCAAACGGAAGACCAGTGGGAATCATTGGTATGTCACCAAATCGCCAGCAATTTTTGATTGAATGGTGAAACTCAGTGCGTGACATTATTATTCTTTGCGGTAAGAATTGCTCGTTGACTTAACCAAGCATAATTCTGATAATTCTCACTAATGTCATTACTCGAATTTTTAATTACGGTGCGTGAAGTTCCAGCAGCTTGCATTAAGGCACGATGCCATGCACAACTAATTTTCTTAGCTATAAACCTTGCGGAGCTCGAGACCTTTCCAACGAATGCAAAATTGTCGAAATCGATTCGTGCGTTCTGGAGTTATTTCGTCAGGAAGGAAAACCCGACTTATTTTTATATATATAGAAGATATATTAGAGACACTTATAACATGAGGTAATAATTTCATAAATTGCCATCATTAAATACTTTTATCACTTAAGAATATATTATATATCGATTTCCGTACTTTTCATAATGTATGGGCTACTAATAAATTTCATATTCATATATAATGTGCGTACACAGTCGCCTAATGTTCATACTTAACAAACAGAACTAAGTACAGAAACAAAAATGTGTATTGTTTGCGATTCGGTCATTACTTTTTTCTAGTGTTCTTAATTGCCCTACTGGTTTTGCTTCCCTGAACACCAAGCATCGTTGGCAAGCTATCTCCCTCAGACACGCGTCGCGCAATGTATCACGCCTGGTATGTGTCTCTTTCACGCTCTCGCGGTTCCCACGCCTCTCTCCGTCGCACTCACATTGCTCAGCACGTGTTTGCTGGCGGCCCGTTTCAGCGAGGGACAAAGACGGCATAAGCGCGTGTGAGTCAGTCCTATGTAGGTGTAAAGCCTGGATCGCACCTTTGCAGATAATTGAATAAACAATTAAAGTAAAAGTTTAATATTTATATTAATGTCCTTAATGTTCCTTGAATCTATCAATAGATTACTGTTATTTCAGAAAGGTGTACTTAAAATTAGGCTTGGTATAAGCCTAATAAATAATTAGGTATAAGGATTTCACGTCGGTTAAAGATGTGAAATACGTATAAATATTGCAGTAAACATATTCGAATTTTTTCAAGTATATCTTAACTAATAATGTTGCTACGTATTAAATATATTTTACGATTCAACATACGTTTCTACCAATACCAATGGTTTTTATGTAGTTACTCTCTATCAATAGAAAGTGACAGTAAAGCTACCAATAATATTTAACCCTCCATCGGTCGGATATTTTTTCACCTTCGAACGGTCGGAAAGGTCTGGCTGGACCACCATTCATTTTACATGCATTTATATGGGATAAATGAGTTTTTGGTGTCTTATATATTAACGATTATATAAAAAAATCAAGAAATATAAAAAATCGTTGCTTTTTTGTTAGTTTTTCTGTTTTATATCAATGAAAAACAATATTTATTCTTTTTCGGCGCCTTTGAAATGAATGTGAAATTCTAATGAAAACGAAATGAGGTGCGTCGCCTTTGAAATGAGCTGTAAAACTCAAAGTGAAAATATAATTACACTACAGGTTTGCCAAAAAATTTTCGAACGCAGTACGGGTAGAAAAATTGTTGATAATGTGTGCATTACTCATCATGAACTCTCGTCATGAAAATACTAACATTCATGTTAGAACACATAGCAAAGAATATATACAACGCAGTTTGAATAGAAAATACCATGAAAAAAGACAAAATACTGGTTTACATATATCAAAAAGCGTATATTTCATACAAAATGTATGGGTAGTCTAGACAGACCTTTCCGACCGTTCGAAGTATAAAAAAGTTAATATCCTTATAATTATCCTTCTGTACATTTTTTCGTCCTGATTTTTTCATTGATCGACAGCTAATGAAATTTTAGGAAAAGTCAAGAAATTTCAAGTCGATAGGTTTACTAGTATTTTTTTTTAATTGAAGTCGAAAAAAGTCTGGCCAGACCACGCTGACCGACGGAGGGTTAATAAAAAAATATATCCCTATATCTGCCCCAACTGCAATTATCAACACCAGATTTTCCCAGTACCGTCCGACTATGGCTTTAGCACCTCACACCGCTCTCGATGCGTACGTGTTGGAGTCTCGCGACGCGTTGTACTCGATTGTGTGCGTTCTATTAGCGTCGTGCGTGAGCATTCCGACTCTGGGGGCATTGAGTTGTCTCAAGGAGGTGTGAGTATTGTTTTTCGTGGAATGAGTGTTTTTCGGCTTTCGGGATAATTCATTCATAGCCGCCAGTCGACGAATTCACGCGTTTACGCCCGATGTTTTCGGTGTAAACACCGATGGAGTTTCTCGATTTGATAAGATTTCTTTATTATATTTTTCTCGAGCAATTTATATTTATTGAATTATGCCCCTTGTGGAAAACTAATATATAAAACGATGCAAAAAATGGTATCGATAGTAATGATTTTCATTTATTAGGTTATTAAGAAATGTGAATATAATAGTTAACAGATAGTATTTAAAATTTTATAATAATGTTATTTATTTTATTTTGCAGGTTTCCATTTGAGTGGTATAGTTTCTTCAGGAAGAAACAACGTATCAGGACAATATCCCGTAGAACCTGAAAAGAAGTACAAAGTATCCGTCAGTTTTGATAGGTAAGAATAATGAACTATGCCGATCTACACAACTTCTTCTAAGTTTTTATGCCATATAAATATTCGATGTAATTTAGTAATATACATGTACTATATTATCTGATGGCACAAAAGTCTTTAAATTTTCAACACGTAAAAGATTTTCAAACGCTGTAGGTAAACCATGAAATATTATTTATGAAGGCTTCAACGATATTTTATAAGACATTTATTTTCATTAATTTTTACTCTGCCCGCCACAGTTTGTGCAATAAAATATAAAATGCATGACTTTGTTAATATGAAAAAATGTGTAAAACGTGTGAAGCAGTAAAAAACTGAATATTTAAATAAAGTTTGCAGTTTTTTTCTATTTTTTAAAAATAATTATGATCAAATATTTCAATAAATAACAATTCTTTTGTATTAAATATCTCATTATACAATGGCTGTATTTTAACTATAAATTTAATTATTTAATAACTATGTCAGACTATTACTTTGTACTGTATTTCTTGATTCATTTGCATCTAATTTCTTCATATTATGTCACATCCAGCATTCCAGTGCAGAATTTAAATCTGAAAGGTCGAGTGCTCATCGTTAGCCAGTTGTTGTGCTGCGTTGATTTTCTAAAAGTAAATTACGTGCGTTTCGCAACCATTCCGAAGAACATCGAGCGATTATGCTAATAGTTTTATTGTGTACAAAATATAAAATCTGTTTCATGTAGATAGAGAGACAATAACCAATTTGTATTGTTCTGGCACTATTACTAATTGGACTGTGAAATAATGTAGGTCGCGTATATAACAGTTAATTATGCAGAGAAAATTAATACAGAGATGATGAAAAAGATCTTCGTTGATTCAGATTTAAATTATTTTTGCAAACGGAAAATTTCTTAAATGCAAATTAGATTATTTAAATATAAATTTCCCAAAATGCTCTATACAACACTTTCAGAGCTCCGTCCAACCTTTTCCCATTAAATTTTTTGTGAGAAACTTAACTGAAAATGATAATAATACTTCTTATTATTGGTTTCACGCTTCTTCATTACTCATTGGTTTCGGATTTCAATTTCATTATGATGCAAGTAATAAATACACCTTCCAACATTTAACTCAATCGTTGTTCTGCGATTTTGCTTTATTTACGTAATCCGATATTCTAACAATGTGCAAAGTTATTCGATCAGCTTGATAGAAATTCTTTCGTCAAATGATGTGACAGTATTTTGCCGTATCATATATCATCACTTTCTCCGTCATTGACAGTCAAAAGTAATCAAAACACACACCGTGATCTTACATTATATATATATATATATATATATATATATATATATATATATAAATTATTTAAGAACTGGTTTTTGTTTTTGCCTACAACGGTTAAAAGTGAAGATTTATCAGTGCGAATGACATTTAAAATTTTTTTCATTATTGGAATACCGTGTGGAGAAATAGAACATCGGCTTCTCTATTTTGTATAAATTATATTTGTTAGCGATTATTGTTATGGCCTTTTAAAAAGAAAATTACCTACGCATACATCAACTCATTAACTAATGTTTAAACACTTTTTCAATGAATATACGCTGTAATGAAATATATAGATAACAAGTTGGAACACATTATTCAATGGAAATTTCTTTGAATGTTAAATACTGGATATTTCAATTAAGAATTCGATACTATTTGACTGCACAAGCACTAAATTGTACTAAATGTTTTTAATGCTTTAAATTATTTAAGGGATGTTCTCTATATCTAAATACTGTGAAAAACTACACCAATGGATGCAATTCTTAGTTTTACTCTATTCTATATCATACTCAATTGATTTTATATCCTATGTAGATTAGATAGATGGTCAAATAAATATAATAATAAAAAAATGTTCTCTATATATGAAAATTTTTCTTTATCTAATTAAAACAAGCATTTAAATTTTATCACAGATGTTATATTTATGGTGCTTTCAAGAAAACCCTTTCTTAAAACTACTTGAACTACTGAATGGTTTGAAAATCTTGAAAAGGCTAAATTACAATTTTTAAAGTTGAAAACTTTCTAAAATGTTTTCTTTTACACAAGTATTAAAAAAAGTAAAACTGAAACTTCCCACTCATTAATTAATAATTCAAATTATTAATATATTCCGTTTTCCATTCCAGGTGTAAAATAACGTCGGTGACCTGCACATGTGATACACGTGACATATTCTGGTGTCAACACGTGGTAGCTTTGTCTTTGTACAGAATTCGGAATGCAGAAACCGTCAGGCTCAGAGTTCCGATATCAGGTCAGTCTAAATTTATGATTATATGCTTTTTTGTTGTTTATTTGAGTCTTGTTGATTACATCGGTGTGATCGTGAACAGTTGCCACATCGAACGCCCACGAAAATGCTGGGAATATAGATAACTTGCATTCTCAAATGATAATTGGTTTGTTATTTGTTTTGGGTGCAGTTGAGTAAGGGATTGTATAAAGCAAATCTTTATGATAGTTTGAAGTTGTATCCTGAACGATTGGATACATTAAATTTCTAAAAGGTGTCATGTTACTGTGAAGAAACAAATACGTTTTATATTAATATTCTGGAAATGTTGGATAAAATCTATGTTCAGAATATTTTTTTAAAAAACGCTTTTGAACGATTTTCATCTCGTAAATAAGACGTAGAAATATTGGCGATAATTCATAATGAATTAATATTATAGTAATTTTTTATTCAATAGCAGATGTGTCAATACCGAATAATATTACATTAATCCGAGCTTTGTGGCTATAAAAGTGATACCGAAATATATTAAAAATAAAATCATAAAATTATCATAAACGCCTTCTTAGTATTCACTTTCTATCAATAATTTATATTCCGGTTCCATCAAGGAATATTTATCTTTTTTACTACCTGTTTTCGGATTTTACAATAACGGGCCATTAATTAATTATATGGGAACACGAATAGATTGAGAAATGAATGTAATTTTGCTTAATTTTAGATAATTTCAAACTGAGTTAGATTAGTTGTTACGCAACAACTTTTACTTGGTTATGCTAATAAATGGTGAATTTATGTTTTGAAGTAACATCAAAGATAATCAAGTCATTTCTATTTCTCGTTAAATGTAACATCAAGAAAACACATGAACTTTGTCCCATGGCAAGGATTTTGCATAGGCCCACAAAGAAATATTCTAACGTGTTATGCAGTACGATAATCAAATACACAGTACTCTATTATTGTATTTACCTAATGAAATTTCATGAATGTATTTAGTTTAAGCGCCTCTATTTTCATCTCTTATAATAATTAATTATCGACATTAGCACGATGGTCAAGCAAACAATAACAGACATATATTATGAATATTCAGTACCCTGGTACGATTTTGGTACAAAGTGATATTACACATCGATCATGGGCACATCTGTGTCCAAGTTTTGAGTTTATCATATTACTGAGGGTTATCAGATTATATATATACTCTATAAATAATTTATAATATGATCCAAATTGTGTAAGGCTGATATCGAATACTTTGATGCTGGCATAAAATAATTTAAGCGGGAGGATTGTTCTGAGATGAAATTCGATAAGGAATGATCGCTTTATGTAATATTCCATGATTAAATAAAATACTCTATAATCTTTAATATTATATACGTATATATTATTAATGGGAAGTTATGGTACGAATATCAAGTAATTGTAAGATTATCCAATAACAAATATGAGTACAAAGATGTGTACAGTTTGACTACAGGGTTACGATTATAAAAGAGAGTGATGACTTTTCTTTTCTTTCTTTTAATTTTTTTATACTCTATAAATTTGATTAGACAAAAATAAATCGCTTAAGATAAATCAGAAAGATAAATTCACAATATATGAATACTGCCCAATCAGAATAAGTGATATTAATATTACACAAAGAAATTACGTTTAAATATACGTTTATAGTGCATTTAAAAATAGCGTCAGTTTTAGGAGAACTAAAAAACAGAAAATTTGGGGTTTTGAGAATGATTATGATAAAAACAATTAAAAAAAGTACCTTTAGGTTTTTGATTCTTTATCGAGTCATTTGAAATGTGCTGTTTTATTTATCAAGAGTTAGAATTATTTACTAATTTTACTTTTCCCGTTGAAATTGTTCGGATATTGTTTGCAAAAAAACTAAAGTGAACAGATGTTAAATATAAAAACATGTACGAATCATTAAAATTGTTTGTCGTGCCAGGAAGTCAAACATTTAACACCGGTGCCCGTATAATACATAAACTCTGACGAAAACCTCCTTTCTAGAACAAAAACTTATCTTTTGTACTTCAAAGAACTTATGACTAAAACATGCGGGCGTTTCTACAACCAATATTAAGTTTGAGTTGCCTGTTGTAAAGACCAATATTATTATCGTATTTGATAATGAATTTATACTACTAAGGGTAGTTTGGAGTGATATCTGATATTTTTTGTTCGAAATTAATCTACTTAACTAACTTAACTAGTTCACAGTAGAGGGAAATTTACTTGGACTCTTGTACTTCTAATGGCTGAGTGATAAGTAGTAGTTGTGTATATATAAACAACCGTTTTGCATAGTTTTAGCTAATGCGATTGAGCTTATGGCCAGTTGGGAATACATTGATGGTTAAGTTCGATCGTTTCTTGTTATTGTATAATGGTAAAAGCACAATACGATTTATTATAACGAAGTACATTATAAACTCTTTTCAATATAATTTGTTCTTGAATGTTTTTGATAATGTATTTGATCCCATAAAATCCGTAAGATTTTGTAAAAGGTTATTGTGTTATTGTATTTTCTTTTGGTTATGTTATTTTTTCCATATACTGCAAAGAATTAAAAAATAACAAAATGAAAACTTGGCATTCCGCGTGTACTTGAAACCAATATCTATTAAATTAAAAATCCAATTCTTGCCATCTTTAACTTTTAGTCATTTGATCTATTAGCAAAAAATATTTTTTTGTAATTGCTTTTTGTGTAGTAACTTATTGCTATAATGATGTATTATTTCGGTAGCAATCTAGATGATGAATTCGCACACATCCACCTATGTAAACCTGGTTTGGCCTATGCAAACTCAAAGAGACGCACATCTGCATCTGCATATAAATGTAACAAAGTGTATGTATATGCAAGACGGAATTCGTATGCGGCGTCCGTTGCCGTGATGTATAAATATTAGCCAGAAAGCCAGCGAGCACTGTATAATACGCATTGTGCTTGGAAGAATAATCTTCTACAACTCTGGACTGCAAATGATAATGTATTCCCTTGCTTTGCAATCAAGATTCATTTGTTATACGTTAGGACGGTGAAGTAATATTGTTTACTAATGCTGCCCGGCCATAGTTAATGAAACTCGGCTCCTAGCTAGCTCGTCTCTTATCTGAATTGCAAAAATTTTTGTTATACGCCGCCATTGACGGAATAAATTTTCCCTTTTCTGAAAATGCATTCCGTTAGAATTTTTTTCGGATACGAAATTTCCATTTATATGAGGATTTCTGGATTTTCTTTTCAGGAATTTACATTATTTTAATTATTTATATAATATATTAACGTTTAAGGTTTTGCTTCAACTAAAAAATATCAATTATAAAAATATAACTTTAATTTAATACAAAATATATTTTTTTAAATTTATTGGTTTTGGAGAGACTGGTTTCATTGTATAATCATCTAATTCATTCCAATTTCATTGTTAATATGAAATAATAAACTAAAATCAAATTATATTATCAAAATTTTAAGACGTAATTTCCTTTCAAAATACTTTAAGATGTTTTTTAATATCATGTTTTAATGATAAAACTACAGGGTTATTAGAAAGCCCATTAAATATGTATTGCGATTATACGTTCTCTGCCCGCATGACATTATGCATTTTCTAACGTCTTTATATTAGTTAATTAATTAAATGCACGTATCCAATTATGGCTGTATATATAACGATATACAAGGCAGATGTTGAATAAATAAAACATTGTTCTTATGCAACAGATAATTCTATAATGAACGTTATTGCCTATAATTTCATATTTGGATGCACCTTTCCATATATGGATACGTATCGAATATGAGCGATTAGACATATAAAAATCTGTGGATTCAGGTAAATGCATTTCGTTTAATAATCAGTAATTTTGAAATTTTGAGTACTGAAAAGATTTTAGTAGTGCTTTATTTGAGTATATATTTTTCCATTTATTATAACTTTAAAATTTTTTACACTATTTTCTAGTTAACAACAAAAATATATTAAATACGTTCGCTTATTTGCAATATATCTAATCACTTTAATCAAGATCGTGGAAACTATATATTTATACCAGTAATAAGCAATACTAAATTCGTATTTCGTCGATGATTTATTGCCAATAATTATACCCATGAGATTAAAACGCTTCATTGATTGGTCGTTAGCCAGTACTTTATTATGGTTGTGTTGTTAAGGTTTTCATAGGCATTTTGTTTCGTTTTACTTTTTAAATTCAACTCGCTAGAATGTTGAATAATATATTTAATACAGTTTTTCGCATTTGCTTGAAAATTTAATGTTTCAACTGTTTATAGAGACAACATTGCTCAAGAAAAAAAGGAAAATGAATAGTGGTCTTTTGTTTAATTTCCAAAGTGATCAAAATAATCATTCAACGGATATTAGGACGTGGTCTGTTTCATAAGATAGATGTTAATTTAGATTTGATTTTAATACAATGTAAGATATTATTTTTGCTATAAAAGTTCTGAAATGTCCTTCAGATCAAGTCAAATCAATAATAAAGAATTAATACCCTGGTATATTCGTTTTATAAAAGCTGCGATGACAATGCATCATTATCATATTATGTTCAAATTTGCATGATGAGACCTAATAACACAATAAAAATGTACATATTGATGAGTATTTTATTTGCAATGACCGCACCTTTTCCGATCGATGTTTTTCATCTCCGTTCAACAATGCTTCGAAGTTGCGTCAGAACAGAACGGCGCGTAAATTTATAGTTATCGAATTGTGAAATCGGATGTTCTCATGAATTAAATTTAGTTTTTTGAACGAATTCACTTATCATTATTGCAGATACTGCACCTAGAAAGTTTATTGTAATAGCGAAACCCACAGATGTGCAGTTCACTTTATCGATAATCCACATAAGACACTGTGACCTGCTACATGATTTTTGAATTGTAATAATTTAAAAATAATTCCAGTAAATAATTTTCTTATTGCTAGGTAGTTTTGTAGTAATTTATAGTT